TGTCTCTCTCTCTCTCTCTCTCTGTTTCTCTCTCTCTCTTTCTCTCTCTCTTACTCTCTCTCTTTCTCTCTCTCTGTCTCTCTCTCTCTCTTTCTCTCTCTCTCTTAGGCGCTCCACCGAAGAATGCAGAGGACCTTAGTTTGATACCTGTGTGGGGAAAATCTTTATCGAGTATCCCAGTCTTTCTCCTGGGACGTTGTATCCATTACAACCTGTGTTGGACCTGACAAACATTGTCAAAGAACGCCTCCTAAATGACCTAGATTGCGTCTATAGCCAGAGACATCAAACACCTACATTAATGTATTCTTATCTCTCGCTTTCTCTCCTTTATTGCCAGGTGCCCTGAGGGACTTGACCGGAAGTTACGTGAGCGCCTACACTTACCTGGCAACGATGGAGCTGGTTGCTATGCTACAGCTTATTGTGCTTCAGTTCACCACTAGGTTCGACAAGAGGCGGGGAATCATAAACACAGACGAAGATGATTCAACCGAAGGGGAGCAGCTGAAGGAAAATGGAAACTGACTGTAAAAAAGGGGACTTGCTTTGTGCCCTTGATCGAAAATCGTTCGTACACCAAATTTGTTATTGGTAAACAGCTGACCAAAATAGGAGAGTTGACTGAAAAGGGAAACTTGTTTTATGATCGACGGTGTTCGGTTGCTAATCATTGGTAAACATCTGAAGGAAGATGCGGGCCAACTGAAAAGGGAAGCTTGTTTTTATGCGCATGATCGGCTATCGTTCGTAGGTCAAGTCGTTGGTAACCAAACAGCTAAAAGAGAATTAGCTGTAAAAGGAGTTCGTTCTATGCCCTTGGTCGGCAATCGTTCGGACGCCAAATTATTGGTAAGCAGCTGAAGGAAGAATGAGAGCTGACTGACAAGGGAAGCTTTTTTATGCGCATGATCGACAATCGCTCATAGGTCAAGTTGTTTTAATAATCTCGTTGTGCATTTTTCTGGGACCACCACGGGCGAGTGATTTATTTTTGTCACAAGGATATGTTCCTTTGTAGGTCGTTCCATGAAAAAGGAAAAGGTAGTTGCATACGTAACGAGAACGTGCTGATCTGGTTGAACCCCCCGCCCCCCCCCAACTCTAAACACTAATAGAGACGTTCTTTATTTTCATTTTGATGCAACCTTCCTTTAACATAAAAAAAACCCCAGAACAAAACAAACAGAACAAAAAAAAAATATTGTTTTAAAAATATGTATAGAGATACCCAGGCTCTATTACGGTTTGGATTTTTTTTTATCAGGTCATCACCCCCGCGTTACGTGTATGTATCAGTGCAGTTTCATTTTTCATAGAAGGACCTTTGTTTGGTTTTGTTTTTTTACAGTGGCATTATCAAACTGAGATCCATGACAGGTTCGTTGTCAGACAATCAATACCACAGACAGTCATTACAGTTATTTTAACTTTTGAATGTAACGGTGTTGATGATGAAATAGATAAAAGATGATAATAGAGATGCTGACTATCATCATCATCATCATCATCATCATCATCATCATCATCATCATCATCATCATCATCATCATCATCATCATCATTGTTTGGTAAGCAGAGTAGAAGGGAGAGTCTTGAGTTAATCATCATCATCATCATCATCATCATCATCATCATCATCATCATCATCATCATCATCATCATCATCATCATCATCACCTCTGATCAAGACGTTGAAACAAATTTCCCAATTTTCCCTCACCATTATTAACATGGCTGCATTCGATTTGGTGCTGTAATTATGATGTCTAATTCCAAAACATCTTGCCCATTTCAGAGACAAGAGACACGGTGTGCGTGGGTGGCGGGTACTCTGGTGTATTCTGCTCCCTCTTTCCTATCAAATATCTTTCGTCATTATGTCTCCTCCTTTTTGTGTTTGTGTGTTTGATACTCTCTTATAACACCTAATCTTCGGTATTTATTTGACTTACATTATGTACTAAAACTATATTTTTAAAAACCCAAAGCATCTTGCCCATTTCAGAGACATGCTGCGTGGTGTAGTATTTGCTTCCTTGCTGTATTTCATGTATCTTTCCACGCAAAGCCTTACTCCTTGCCCTCGTATCGGATGTGGTATACGTCATATAACCGACTGGACAATGCCAATCAGGTTCATTTGCTTGAGCTAGGGGAAGTCGTATTGTGCGCCAAAATGCTTGCTCTTTACCCCTCCTTGAAGGAAAATTGGCTGGCCCCGACTCAGTCAAATAAATCCGATTTGTCGTGTGCATTAGGCGTAACCGGATCAGTCCACCGCTCTCGTCGAACGTTTTAGAGGCTGAAAATCTCTTGTTCGTCGAAAGGGCCGATGACATGTTATCGCCACCTTATTCAGATAGGGGAAGAGAAAATGTTCAGCCTCTGTCGAATGTCGTGTTGGGACTCATGTCTCCGGCGTACCCTTTAGGCCTTGCACAAGGAATATTTCCATTCGTCTGTCAACTGACGAATGGCGTTACTTTCCGCGAATAGAAAAAACCTTCAGTTGTAATAGCAACATCACCCCCCCTCTCTTTCCACCAGAAACAAAAAAAAACAAACAAAAAAAAACCGTCATACACATCACACACCCCAAGAAAAAACAAACACAAACAACAACAACAACAACAAAAAACAACAAAAAACAAAACCGAAAACATCTCAAAGTGTAGGCCACTGATAAACGTTTATCAAAGGCCCAGGGAGAGTAAATTTGCAGTTTCCAAGAAAACTCAAGCTTTGGAAGTCACAAAATTTCGGCAGCCACTTTCTCGCTAGTTGTAAGTCTTCTTCTCACACCACACGGGTGACCCCAATCCCCTTCAATTGCAAATACCCCTCTACTTCTCTTCAAGAGAAATTAGCATTTATGTCCACAAAAGTAAAGCAAATGAACAGGTTTTCGAATATCCTAACCACAGTTACTCCAAAATGTCACATGTAGCCTACTGGGCAAACAGGCGTATCATGAAATTTAACACAAAAGCCACAAGCAGTATAGATTATGTAGCGAGTTAAACGGTATGTTGCTTCCCATTTCCATAAAATGTAAATTATCGCCAAAACCGTAGCAATAAAAAGTTGTGGGATGTTGCAGCAAAAAAGAGAACCATCTCCATATTTGACAAGGGCGGTCGTTCTGTTTTTATCGTATCCAGTCTTACAGCCAGAGTGAACCCCTTCCCTCATCTTTTCTCCTCACACACACACACACACACACACACA